GTCAGCAACCAAATTCCAGTTTAGAGGCGGATTTGGTCATGGACGTGGTCAGCCACATCAGTAAAATTGGAGAGGGTTATTTTGCATTGAATAAATTTAACAGCAAAAAGAAGAGGAGAAGGAGAAGGAGAAGGAGAAGGAGACAGGGTCTCACTCTGTCGCCCAGGCTGGAGAGCAGTGGCATAAACAAGGCTTACTGCAGCCTCAATATCCTGTGATCAAGAGATTCTCCCACCTCAACCTCCCGAGTAGCTGGGAGTACAGGCATGCACCACCGCACCTGGTGAATTTTTGCTTTTTTTTTTTTTTTTTTTTTTTTTGTAGAGACGGGGTTTCACCATGTTTCCCACGCTGGTCTCGAACTCCTGAGTTCAAGTGATCTGCCTGCCTCAGCCTCCCAAAGTCCTGGGATTATAGGAGTGAGCCATCACGCCTTGCCTGGTTGTTGATTTTTAAAAATCTTTTTCTCTACATTTTTCTGTAGGTTTGAAGTATTTTTAAACAATAATTTTTTTTTTTGAGACAGGGTCTTTGCTCTGTCTCCCAGACTGGGATGAGTGGCACTATCACAGCTCACTGTCTTGAACTCCTGGGCTCAATCAATCCTTCCTTCTCAGCCTCCCAAAGTGCTGGAATGACAGATGTGAGCCACCCCACCCAGCCTCATAATACTACTTTTTTTTACTTCTTTTTTTTTTCTTTTCTTTTTTTTTTCTTTTCTTTTTCTTTTGAGACGGAGTCTCGCTGTCGCCCAGGCTGGAATGCAATGGCACGATCTCGGCTCACTGCAAGCTCCACCTCCCGGGTTCACGCCATTCTCCTGCCTAGCCTCCCAAGTAGCTGGGATTGCAGGCGCTGGCCACCACGCCTGGCTAATTTTTTTGTATTTTTAGTAGAGACGAGGTTTCACCGTGTTAGCCAGGATGGTCTCGATCTCCTGACCTCGTGATCCGCCCACCTCGGCCTCCCAAAGTGCTGGGATTACAGGCGTGAGCCACATCACCCGGCCTCTTTTTTTTTTTTTTTTTTTTTTTTGAGATGGAGTTTCACTCTTGTTGCCCAGACTAGTGTGCAAATGGCGCAATCTCAGCTCACCGCAAGCTCTGCCTCCTGGGTTCAAGCAATTCTCCTGCCTCAGCCTCCCAAGTAGCTGGGATTACAGGCATGCGCCACCATGCCTGGCTAATTTTGTATTTTTAGTAGAGACAGGGTTTCTCCATGTTGGTCAGGCTGGTCTCAAACTCCCAATCTCAGGTGATCCGCCCACCTCAGTCTCCCAAAGTGCTGGAATGACAGGTGTGAGCCACCCTACTCGGCCTCATAATATTACTTTTTTAATTAAAAAATAATAAAGGGTGAGGAAGTGAAAAGAGTGAGAGGAATAACTCAAAGAGTTTTGCTCTAAAGACAGCAAAGAAGTAGGGCAGCTGCTGAAGAGGTGATGCTGTCAACACAGTGGGTGCCTCAGGTGTGGGTGATGGGGGCTGTTCGGAAGCTCCCAGGCATGACTCAGGAGGAAGAGAAACTTGTTCATGCAGAGGAGAGTTGAGCCCTGGAATAAGTGAGTGGGTGTGGGCTCCATGGTCTCTGATAGGAGCAGAGCAAGCACACCCACTTAGCTGGAGGGAAGACGAGGTGAATGAGGATGTTGCAAGCAGAGTGGTTAGATGTGCTTCAAGGAGGGAAAATGACCGAGTCTACCTAGCTGCTGTGGCAACAGCAACAAATCTCAGTGGTTTCACACCACAAGCGCATGCTTCTCACTCACAGCACAGTCCCACACAGGCCTTCCCTGGAGCGATGTAGGGATCGAGGCTCCTCGTCCTTGGCTCAGCTGTCCACTGGGGCTTCCTCAGAGCTTCCTTGGGATCCCTTCCATCTAGCCAGCTGAGGAGCAAAGAGAAAGAATGAGGAGGACCAGGCACGGGACATTTCAGCCAGGCCTGGATGCATACTACACTGCAGAAGGTAAAGCCCAAAATCTGGTCAGTTGCCCCAACCTACCTGCAAGGGAGGCTGGGAAATGAAGTCCTCCATGTGTCCACAACAAGGGATGAGTTCAGGACTCTCTAGGAAGTCTCCACCACAGAGCAGGAGGCTGAGTCCTCAGCTGCCATTTTCCCAGCAACATTAGAAAGAAAGTCATCAGGTGAGAGTAAGAAAGGATCAAAGCAAGGAGAAAGTGTGGAACCATGATTTCAGAGAGATGAAGAGTGGATGGATTCATACGGTCTATAGGAACGCTGGGGAGTGCTGAAAATTCACTTGAACCAATGGCAACATTTGATAATGCATTCTGCTACATTTACACATTTAAAAAATGCCCTTGTTGGCTGGGCATGGTGGCTCACACCTGTAATCCCAGGACTTTGGGAGGCTGAGGCAGGTGGATCACTTGTGGTCAGGAGTTTGAGACCAGCCTGGCCAACAGGGCGAAACCCCGTCTCTAGTAAAAAAACAAAACTTAGCTGGGCGTGGTGGTGGGTGCCTGTAATCCCAGCTGCTTAGGAGGCTGAGGCAGGAGAATTGTTTGAACTGGAGAGGTGGAGGTTGCAGTGAGGGGATATCATGCCACTGCATGCCAACCTGGGTGACAGGGTGAGACTCTGTCTCAAAAAAAATTTTTTTTAATTAAATAAGTAAAAATGCCATTGTTCAATTAACTGTTCAAGAACTTGAAGTTTTAAATACTGTTCTTACTGAAATGGGTATTTTTTAAAACTTATTATTTATAAATGTAGGACCATATGTATTGTAAGAACAGTGAGCCTTAGTTTTGACCTCCCAGAATATTAGGAAATTTTTAGAAATGAATTTCAATTTACTTCAATGAAAAAAAATAGCCAAGCATGGTGGCTTATGCCTATAATCCTAGCACTTTGGGAGGCTGAGGTGGGAAGACTGCTTGAGCCCAGGAGTTTCAGAGCAACCTGTAGACTGTAGTGAGACCCCATCTCTACAAAAAAAAAAAAAAAAAAAAGTAGCTGCATATGGTGGCATGCACCTGTGGTCCCAGCTACTTGGGAGGCTGGAGTGGGAGGATCACTTGAACCCAGGAGCTGAAGGCTGCAGTGAGCCAAGATGGCACCACTGCACTCCAGCCTGGGTGACAGAGCGAGACCCTGTCTCAAAACAAAACAAAAGTACACCCTTTAGCACTTACTGGAAAGGTGAAATAATGGTTGTTCAAAAATAACACACATGGCCAGGCGCGGTGGCTCACGCCCATAATCCCAGCACTTTGGGAGACAGGCGAATCATGAGGTCAAGAGATTGAGATCATCCTAGCCAACACAGTGAAACCTCATCTCTACCAAAAATACAAAAATTGGCTGGGCACGGTGGCTCAAGCCTGTAATCCTAGCACTTTGAGAGGCTGAGATGGGAGGATCACGAGGTCAGGAGATTGAGACCATCCTGGCTAACATGGTGAAACCCCATCTCTACTAAAAATACAAAAAACTAGCCAGGCAAGGTGGTGGGTGCCTGTAGTCCCAGCTACGCGGGAGGCTGAGGCAGGAGAATGGCGTAAACCCAGGAGGCGGAGCTTGCAGTGAGCTGAGATCCAGCCACTACACTCCAGCCTGGGCGACAGAGTAAGACTCCGTCTCAAAAAAAAAAAATTAGCTGGGCATGGTGGCACCTGCCTGTAGTCCCAGCTTCTTGGGAGCCTGAGGCAGGAGAATCACTTGAACCCGGGAGGCAGAGGTTGCAGTGAGCCGCGATTATGCCACTGCACTCTAGCCTTGTGACAGAGCCAGACTCTGTCTCCAAAAAAAAAAACAATTTTTAAAAAAGTATATATATATATATATGCACGCACACACACACACACACAAAGGGGCTGGGCACGGTGGCTTGCGCCTGTAATCCCAGCACTTTGGGAGCCAGGTGGATCACAAGGTCAAGAGATCAAGACCATCCTGGCCAACATGGTGAAACCCTGTCTCTACTAAAAATACAAAAATTAGTTGGGCGTGGTGGCTTATGCCTGTAGTCCCAGCTGCTCGGGAGGCTGAGGCAGGAGAATCACTTGAACCCAGGAGGTGGAGATTGCAGTGAGCTGAGATCGTGCCACTTCACTCCAACTTGGTGACAGAGCAAGACTCTGTCTCAAAAACAAGTAAAAATAAGAAATAACACAGAGGCCGTGAATCACTGTTTCAGAACTGGTATAGTACCTACATTTAAAAATATAAAATTGATATGAATATGCCTTTTATTTAATGTTTGGTACGAAAGTAACTATTAAGAAAGTAGCTTCAGGCTGGGCACAATGGATCACACCTGTAATCCTAGCGCTTTGAGGGGCCAAAGCGGGTGGATTGCCAGAGCTCAGGAGTTTCAAATCAGCCTGGGCAACATGGCAAGACCCCATCTCTACTAAAAATACAAAAAAAAGTTAGCTGGAAGTGGTGGTGCATGCCTATAATTCCAGCTACTTGGGAGGCTGAGGCATGAGAATCACTTGAACCCTTGAGGCAGAGGTTGCAGTAAGCTGAGACGGCACCGCTTTTTTTCCACTTAAAAAAAGAAAAGAAAAAGAAAATAGCTTCATATTTATATTAACTGTATAAGTGGAGAAAACTAAGCTATTTGTTCTTTGAAATGATTACAAAACAGCCTTATTTAAAAATAGAACTATCCTCCTGCCCCTTGCCTGGTTATAATAAATATTGTGTCTTATGAAGAAAAAAAAGTCAGACAGGCCATCATATGGTGGTGGTTTTGTTGTTATTGTTGTTATATAGCCACACTCAGCCACTCAGGAACAAACTAAGAGAGAGGAAGCATTTAACCAGCATTTTACCTGTCAAAAAAGACAGAAGGAAAGAGGAGCAAGAGAGTTCAGGATATGAAAGGAGTGATTATAATGCTGCACTGAAGACTTCAAGGGCAGTAAGGACAGGACAAGGGCAGGCAGTCTTGCTGAATGCCAGGGGTTCAGTCTAGGTCCACCCGCTCACTGAACAGAAAGCCAATCACTGAGACAACAAGTATTACCAGAAAAGAAAGGCTTTTATTGTGAGTGATGTCAGCCAGGAAACAAGTCTCAAATCCGTCTCTCCAACCATGAAAGTTAGGAGTTTATATAGCAGGGAAGAAATATAACTACGTGCAGGGAAACAGGAGTTAGGGAGAGGTAAGGAAAAAGAGTTGGTCAGCAGGCAGCAGCGGTCAGATGAGAGGTCCAGCATCTCATTGTCCAGATGCGGTGATCTGGAAAGTTTCAGCCAGCCCCACACACACACTATCTGGGAGACCTGATGATCAGTTTCCTGAGAAAGAAATTCAGAGAAGACAAATGTAAGTTTCTTGAGCTTTAAGACCAGGAAGGTCAATTTCTGTATTTCTTAAGACAACAAAACAAAACAAAACAAAACTGTAAACATCAGTTCCATGGAAAATTTGGGCTGATTCCAGAAGGACAGTGGGAAAAGATAATGCAGAGCCCCCACAGTGTCCTCAAGAGATAAGCCCAACAGAACGGCTCTGTCCAGTCAAGGAAACTCTAGGGAAAGTTCAGAGTCTCTAGACCTTGCAGAATTTGCTACAAAGCAGCCATATTTAGGCAGGAATCTGTGCCAAATGCCTAGCATGGCCACCACACTGTCCATCAGAGGTATCCCCGGATAGAGCACAGGTACCATATTCCAGGAGGTTGGGACGTTGGCTGCAACAGCTGGAGAAGGTAGGTGTTTTGTTTTGTTTTGTTTTTGTTTTTGTTTTCTCTCTATTTCAGTTTGCAAACCATACTGGGTACAGCAAAGTTGACTGGAAGCAAGTAGAGAAGGATGTGAAGACAGCCAAGGAACTGCTGAAAAGCCCTAAGAACAACCAGATACCTGTTGATGGCAAAGCAAAACCGGAGGTGGGATCATCTGTGAGGAAGAATGTTCCAGTGACTGGAGGATTTGGGAAGCTTTCTGCTTGGCATGGTGTCCTAAAGAGAACTCCTTCACTTCCATTCTGCCTGGTCTGTTTGGGTTTTTGTTTTTATTTTGAGTTCTCCTTTTCTATCTCTCGTCACATTGTGTCAGTTGACTTTTCTAACCAGCAGCCTCTATACTGCATCATCGGATACTGAATCTCTCCTCCTCCTCTTCTCCTGTGCCTTCCTCCTGCAGTGGCAAACCTGAATGGTTTTCTGTAGGGATCTGTTGGTCCAAGTTAACTGATGAGGTCCTAACATGAACGTGATGAGGAGGGCAGAGCTGGAATGTTTTGCCCCTCCCTGACAACATTCCTCACCTGGTGACTTTGTAGGTTAGCCAGAACATTTCTTATCCCCCTATATAAGACACTTATCAGAACACATTGCAGCTGGGTGCAGTGGCTCATGCCCATTATCTCAACACTTTGGGAGGCTAAGATGGGCAGATCACTTGAAGCCAGGAGTTCAAGACCAGCCTGGCCAACATGGAGAAACCCAACCTCTACTAAAAAATTAAAATAAAATTCAAAAAATTAGCCGAGCATGGTGGCACATGCCTGTAATCCCAGCTACTTGGAAGGCTGAAGAATGAGAACCCTTTGAATTCAGGAGGTGGAGTGTATTAGTCTCTTCTCATACTGCTATTAAAGACATACCTGAGACTAGATAACTTATTTAAAAAAAAAAAAGTTTAACAAACTCACCGTTTCACATGTCTGGGGAAGCCTCACAATCATGGCAGAAGGCAGAGAAAGAGTAAATATTTGTCTTACATGGCGGCAGCCAAGAGAGCTTGTGCAGGGGAACTCCCATTTATAAAACCATCAGATCTCATGAGACTTATTCATTCTCACAAGAACAGTACAGGAAAGACCTGCCCCCATGATTCAATTACCTCCCACCTGGTCCCTCCCACAACACATGGGGATTATGAAAGCTACAATTCAAGATGAGATATGGGTGGGGACACAGCCAAACCATATCATTCTGTCCCTGGCTCCTCCCAAATCTCGTGTCCTCACAATTCAAAACCAATCATGCCTTCCCAACAGTCCCCCAAAGTCTTAACTCATTTCAGCATTAACTCAAAAGTCCACAGTCCGAAGTTCCTTCCATCTATGAGCTTGTAAAATCAAAAGCAAGTTAGTTATTTCCAGACACAATGGGGGTACAGACATTGGGTAAATATACCTGTTCCAAATGGGAGAAATTGGCCAAAATGAAGGAGCTACAGGCCCCATGCAAGTCTGAAATCTAGTGGGGCAGTCAAATCTTAAAGCTCTAAAATGATCTCCATTGGCTCCATGTCTCACATCCAGAGCACACTGATGCAAGAGGTTGGTCCCTATGGCCTTGGATGGCTCTGCCCCTGTGGCTTTGCAGGGTACAGTTCCCCTCCTGGCTGCTTTCATGGGCTGGTGTTGAGTGTCTGCAGCTTTTCCAGGCTCATAGTGCAAGCTGTTGGTGGATCTACCATTCTGGGATATGGAGGATGGTGGCCCTCTTCTCACTGCCATTAGGCAGTGCCCCAGTGGGGGCTCTGTGTGGGGGCTCTAACCTCACTTCTCCCTTCCACACTGCACTAGCAGAGATTCTCCATGAGGGCTCTGCCCCTGCAGCAGACCTCTGCCTGGACATCCAGGTATTTCCATACATCCTCTGAAATCTAGGCGGAGGTTCCCAAACATCAGTTCTCGACTTTTGTGCCACCAGCAGACTCAACACCATGTGGAAGCTCCCAAGTCTTGGGATTTGCACCCTCTGAAGCCACAGCCTGAGCTGCACCTTGAACCCTTTTAGCCATGGCTGGAGTGGCTGGGACACAGGACACCAAGTCCCTAGGCTGCACACAACAGGGGGACCCTGGGCCTGGCTGAGGAAACCATGTTTTCCTCCTAGGCCTCTGTGCCTATGACGGGAGGAGCTCCCGCAGAGGTCTCTGACATGCCCAGGAGATATTTTCCCCATTGTCTTGTTGATTAACATTTGACTCCTTGTTACTTATGCAAATTTCTGAGGCAGGCTTGAATATCTCCCCAGAAAATGGGTTTTTCTATTCTTTTTTTTTTTTTTTTTGAGACGGAGTTTCACTCTTTTTGCCCATGCTGGAGTGCAATGGCACCATCTTGGCTCACTGCAACCTCCACCTCCTGGGTTCAAGCGATTCTCCTGCCTCAGTCATCTGAGTAGCAGGGATTATAGGCATGTGACATCACGCCTGGCTAATTTTGTATTTTTAGCAGAGATAGGGTTTCTCCATGTTGGTCAGGCTGGTCTCAAACTCCTGACCTCAGGTGATCCGTCCTCCTCTCCCTCCCAAAGTGCTGGGATTACAGGTGTGAGCCACCATGCCCAGCTGGGATTTTCTATTCTATTGCATCATCAGGCTGCAAATTTTCCAAACTTCTATGCAATACTTCCTCTTGAATGCTTTGCTGCTTAGAAACTTCTTCCACCAGATGCCCCGAATCATCTCTCTTAAGTTCAAAGTTCCACGTATCTCTAGGGCAGGGACAAAAGCTGTCAGTCTCTTTGCTAAGGCACAGTAAGAGTCACTTTTGCTCCAGTTCCCAACAAGCTCCTCATCTCCATCTGAGACCACATCAGCCTGGACTTTATTGTCCATATAACTATCAACATTTTGGTCAAAGATACTCAGTAAGTCTCTAGGAAGTTCCAAACTTTCCCACATTTTCCTATCTTCTTCTGAGCCCTCCAAACTGTTCCAACCTCTGCCTGTTACCCAGTTCCAAAGTTGCTTCCACATTATCAGCTATCTTTACAGCAGCACCCCACTCTACCAGTACCAATTTACTGTATTAGTCTGTTCTCACACTGCTAATAAAGACATACCTGAAACTAACCTATAAAGAAAAAGAGGTTTAATGGACTCACAGTTTCACATGGCTGGGGAAGCCTCACAATCATGGCAGAAGGCAAAGAAGGAGCTAAGATAAGTCTTATATGGCGGCAGGCAAGAGGGTTTGTGTGGGGGAACTCGGCATTTATAAAACCATCAGATCTCCTGAGATTTATTCACCATCACGAGAACAGCACAGGAAAGACCTGCCCCCATGTTTCAATTACTTCCCACTGGGTTCCTCCTACCACATGTGGGGATTATGGGAGCTACAATTCAGCATGAGATTTGGGTTGAGATACGGCCAAACCATATCATGGAGGTTGCAGTGAGCTGAGATCGTGCCACTGCACTCTAGCCTGGGTAACGGAGCGAGACTCTGTCTCCAAAGGAAAAAAAAATAAAAAACATTGTAAGATGACTCACCATGGGGGACAAGTAGATCCTCAAAGGTTGGCCCAAACTGCTGCTTTGGAAAAGAAACAGTAAGTGCATAGATACTTTGTTATGACGTGCTGCATGGAAAAGAACTAAACGCATTTGGCTTTAAGTATGAAATATTTTTGGTATCTTAGTGTCTACTTTCTTTTACAGTTGGTTTTAGATTACAGAAAGAGAGCTATTTATACCTGTTATTATTATCCTGACAAAAATGACAGCATAAGCACTATAATTGAAAAATCTGAATATAGAATGAATTTATGTTAAAAGTATCTGTTGCGCTGAAGGCATTGTATTTAGTGGGAAGGGCTTTGGGGAACCAACTGGTAGAAATATATCATGGAACGGTTCATTTTAGCAAAGCATTAAGATATTGTCCACAGAATGTTTTCCACCATACAGGTTATGCATTCAGTGGCTGTTTCAAAGGGTTTATTTATGGAAAAGCAAGCGACTTTAGGTGGGAAGGGAAGAAGTTCTTGAGTTCTTATTTCATAGAAAAGGAGCCATAGCTCGTTGTACTGATTCTACCATTTCTTTATTCAGTTAGTATGAAGTATAACCCTTTAGCCAGAATTTTTGGCTGGGCACAGTGGCTCACGCCTGTAATCCCAGCACTTTGGGAGACCGAGGTGGGTGGATCACGAGGTCAGGAGTTCAAGACCAGCCAGCCCAATATGGTGAAACCCCATCTCTACTGCAAACACAAAAATTACCCAGGCGTGGTGGCAGGCGCCTATAGTCCCAGCTACTCGGGAGGCTGAAGCGGAAGAATCACTTGAACCTGGGAGGCGGAGGTTGCAGTGAGCCGTGATGGTGCCACTGCACTCCAGCCTGGGCGACAGAGCGAGACTCCATCTCAAAAAAAAAAAAAAAGAATTTTTGAGAAGTATTATCCCAGGCATTCAGAACTGAGAAAGATCACACATAAGAAATACATTATTATCGTCATCAAATGTTTAAAAAAAAAGTGTTGGGATCAATGGATTGGATAGCAGTGTCCCACACCCCACCATTTACTCATCTTTTCTCCTCTGAGTTGAAACTCCTCTTTGGTGAGCTACTGGATTCCTATATGCACTTGCATGTAGGAGACGGCTACTGTTTGGCTTTCCCTCCCCGACATCCCACCCCCAACACCGTCTCCACGTTTCTGTGAACTCTCCCCTCCTTCGCATGCGGTCACCACAGCAGCCATGGCATGACCTTTGGCTGCAATTAATCATGCCAGTATTAGTCAGCTGATCCAACAGAGCCAATCAGTGTCTTCCCCACTACTTTGGGGGGAACAGACAGAAAGAGAGAGAAAGAGAAAGAGAGAGAGAGAGGAGAGACTATTAGGTAATCACCTTAGATGGTCAGTTTTCTGTTGAAGGCACCTACTCCATATCTTTTCCTCTTCATCACTCTGCATTTCTGAATTTAATCCTATACTTTGTGCTCAACTTTTGTGTGCTCTGAAAGTCAGCTTTATCCTAAGCAAATCTGTATCTACTTTAAAAGACTGAAAATAGAAAAAAAAAAATCTTTGCCAAATTCTTCAGAGACTGCTGTATTTACATATGGTTTAAAATCAAATGTCATAAGAACTTCTTGATTAAACTATTTCCCATTATTACATTTTTTATCTCTTCTACAGCATCATTTTTGAAAAGACTTCCTCTTTGAAATACTGCATCTATGTTCTTGTGTATTTGTTTCACCTTTCCACACTCAATTCAGGTGTATTAAACTAAATCTAACACTTTAATTTTAAAAAAGAGGTGGGGGGAGTAGGGAAAATCCACAAGCTATGAAACTAAAGAATTTGACATTTTGGGTTGGATGAAAAAATTAAAAAGCAAAAAAAAAAAATTCAGGAGTGTTGTAAAGATTTGAACTGAGACCGGGCGCGGTGGTTCACACCCAGCACTTTGGGAGGCCGAGGTGGGCGGATCACAAGGTCAAGAGATGGAGACCATCCTGGCCAACATGGCGAAATCCAGTCTCTACTAAAAATACAAAAAGTAGCCAGGCATGGTGGTGCACGCCTGTAGTCCCAGCTACTCAGGAAGCTGAGGCAGGAGAATCGCTTGAACCCAGGAGGCAGAGGTTGCAGGGAGCCGAGATCACAGCACTGCACTCCAGCCTGGTGATTGAGACTCAGTCTCACCAAAAAAAAAAAAAAAAAATTGAACTGAAGAGCAGAGAAGCCAGTTCACTATAAGAGGAAAAAGTGAGGCAGAGCCTCTGAACCTCTGAAAGAGGTAGAGATCACACACAGAGAGAACTTCCCAGGTCCCTGAAAAAGCACCCATCCCCATTTTGACACAAGGCCCAGTTGCAACCCCACCCAGAGACTCCTGAGATGTTCTGCTGTCTTTCTGATAAACTCCCTTCTTTTTTAAACTATTTTATTTCAATAGCTTTTGGGGTACAAGTGGCTTTTGGTTCCATGGATGAATTGAATAGTGTTGAAGTCTGAGATTTCAGTGCACCTGTCACCTGGGTAGTGTACATTGTACCCAATATGTAGTTTTTAATTCCACACCCCCGCTTTTATCCACCACCCCACTCAGCCCTTCTGAGTCTCCAAAGTCCATCATATCACTGTGTATGCCTTTGCATATTCATAGCTCAGCTCCCACTTACGAGTGAGAACATACGGTGTTTGGTTTTCCATTGCTGAGTTACTTCTCTTAGAATAATGGCCTCCAGCGCCATCCAAGTTGCTGCAAAATACATTATGTTGTTCCTTTTTATGGCTGGGTAGTATTCCATGGTGTATATATATATACCACATTTCTTTCCTTCTTTCTTTTTTTTTTTTTTTTTTGAGACAGAGTCTTGTTCTGTCGCCCAGGCTGGAGTGTAGTGCTGCGATCTCAGCTCACTGCAATGTCCGCCTCCCAAGTTCAAGTGATCCTCCTGCTTCAGTCTCCCAAGTAGCTGGAACTATAGGTGCATACTACCACACCCAGCAAATTTTTGTATTTTTAGTAGAGAGGAGGTTTCGCCATGTTGGCCAGGCTGGTCTTGAACTCCTGACCTCGAGTGATCCACCCACCTCAGCCTCCAAAGAAAGTGCTGGGATTAGAGGCGTGAGCCACCGTGCCCGAACACCACATTTGCTTTATCTACTTATTGGTTGATGGGCATGTAAGTTGGTTCCGTATCTTTGCAAATGTGAATCAGCCCACAATAAACATATGCATGCGTGTGTCTTTTTCTTTTTTCTTTTCTTTTTTTCTTTTTTTTTTTTTTGGAGATAGAGTTTCACTCTTTTGCCCAGGCTAGAGTGCAACGGTGCGATCTCAGCCCACTGCAACCTCCACCTCCTGGGTTCAAGCAATTCTCCTGTCTCAGCCTCCCAAGTAGCTGGGATTACAGGCATGCGCCACCACACCTGGCCAATTTTGTATTTTTAGTAGAGACGGGGTTTCTCCATGTTGGCCAGGCCGGTCTTGAACTCCCGACCTCAGGTGATCCACCCGCCTCAGCCTCCCAAATTGCTGGGATTACAGGCGTGAGCCACCGCGCCCAGGCCATGTGTCTTTTTCGTATGACTTCCTTCTTTACTTAAGCTAGTTCTCACTGAATTTCTGTCACTTACAGCCAAGACAGCCTCAACTAATTCCCTGGATCCGTTTCTGAGGTACATTCCATGTCATTGACTCCTCTGCCCATCCCTATGCCTGTGCCAAGTGTGTTTTAATTATGTAGATCTATTGTGGGGAAAAGAAAGAGAAATCAGATTGTTACTGTGTCTATGTAGAAAAAGGAAGGCATAAGAAACTCCATTTTGATCTGTACTAAGAAAAATTGTTCTGCTTCGAGATGCTGTTAATCTGTAACTCTCGTCTCAACCCTGTGCTCACAAAAACATGTGCTGTATTGACTCAAGATTTAAGGGATTTAGGGCTGTGCAGGATGTGCTTTGTTAAAAATGTGTTTGCAGGCAGTATGCTTTGTGAAAGTCATCGCCATTCTCCATTCTCGATTAACCAGAGACACGGTGCACTGCAGAAGGCCGCAGGGACCCCTGCCCAAGAAAGCCTGGGTATTGTCCAGGTTTCCCCCCACGGAGACAACCTGAGATAGGGCCTCATGGGAAGGGAAAGACCTTACAGGTCCCCAGGCTGACACCCATAAAGGGTCTGTGCTGAGGAGGATTAGTGAAAGAGGAAGGCCTCTCTGGGGTTGAGATAAGAGGAAAGCATCTGTCTCCTGCACGTCCCTGGGAATGGAATGACTCGGTGTAAAACCGAGCATACATTCTATTCTGAGAGAGGAGAAAACCGCCTTATGGCTGGAGGCGAGACATCGTGGCGGCAGTACTGCTCTGTTACTCTTTACTGCGCTGAGATGTTTATGTAAAGTTAAACATAAAGGTAGCCTACGTGCATGCACATTCAGGCACAGCACCTTTCCTTAAACTTATTTATGACAGAGAGTCTTTTGTTCACATGTTTTCCTGCTGACTCTTTCCCTACCATCACCCTATAGTCACATTGCATTCCCTTCGCAGAGATAGTAAAGATAGTGATCAGTAAATACCGAGGGAGGCCGGGTGCAGTGGCTCATGCGTGTAATCCCAGCAATTTGGGAGGCCGAGGTGGGCGGATCATGAGGTCAGGAGATCGAGACCATCCTGGCTAACATGGTGAAACCCCATCTCTACTAAAAATACAAAAAATTAGCCAGGCACGGTGGCGGGTGCCTGTAGTCCCAGCTACTCGGGAGGTTGAGGCAGGAGAATGGCGTGAACCCGGGAGGCGGAGCTTGCAGTGAGCCGAGATTGCACCACTGCACTCCAGCCTGGGCGACAGAGCGAGACTCTGTCTCGAAAAGGGGGGGGGGGGGGGGGGGGGGGGGGGGGGGGGGGGGGGGGGGGGGGGGGGGGGGGGGGGCTGAAAATAAAACAAAAAAAAAAAAAAATAAACAAATAAAAAATAAATAAATAAATAATGACTGAGGGAACTCAGAGACCAGCGCTGGTGCAGGTCTTCACTTGCTGAGCACTGGTCCCCTGGGACCACTTTTCTTGCTCTACACTTTGTCTCTGTATCTCATTTCTTTTCTCCGCCTCTCGTCTCCACCTTGCGAGAAATACCCACAGGTGTGGAGGGGCAGGCCCCCCTTCAACCTGTGATTATTTTAATATCTGATAGGACAAGTCCCCTTATTATTGTTCGTTTACGTTTTTTCTGCTGGCTACTCTTACATGTTTAGTCTTCTAGATGAATTTAGGCTCATTTTGTCCGATTCCAAAAAGACATTGCCCAAGAATTTTCATCTGCATAACCTTGAAGTTATAGCTCAATCTAGGGAAACTTGACATCATAGCAATATGGAGACACCGTAGTCAAGAATAAGTTGACTGTGTGAAGTATTTTTATGGCCTTCATTAGAGTTTTACGGTTGTTCTCATCCACATCTTGCACATTCCTTCAGTTCATTCTTGAGTGTTTTGTGGTTTGGTTGCTATTGTGCATTCCCAGATTCTTACTGGAGATTGAGTGTGGGGTCTTGTAGTAGGCACCTGTGGTGTCCCATGTTGCACCCCCTTGACCTGCTGATTTCAGCCACAACAG